CTGGACCGTGTCACCAATTAGACTATTTTCCCATATTATCAATTCTACAACATTTTATATTGTTCTTATTTGAGATGTTACCCAGTTATATTAAAACTGTTGAAACTATTTGCAGCACAGCAAAAGGGTGTTTCAAAAACAACCCAGTTGGATGTTTAATCTCGTCTAATCTGATTAGTAAAGGCTCATAATAAATCATGAAAGTTTACACAACTGTGGAATTTGAGATACAACATACAGGCGCTGACACCACCCAACCTAGCAGCTTCTCTATAGTGAGAATGTTGTGATTTCTAAAGTTGATTTTGATCAATTTAGTTCTACGGAACTAAATTGATCCTTTCTCACTCTCAACTGGTTCTGCACCAGTTGAGAGTGAGAAAGGTTTTGCCACAAAGTAACCAAATAAATCTACAGAAAACATTATTAGTCAGTTGGAAGACCAAAGAAAACAACAACTCAATTTTAACTTTCTGCAGAATCAGACTCAGAGAGCCTCAACTAGTTAGGAATCAAAATGCAATAGAAAAACAATTTTAAAAAAGTATAAATATATTCATATTTCTACCACAGTTTAGAAAAATACAATCTTACTACACAATAGGACAGCTGTAGGGAAAACTGTTCAGTTTCCATCTCTGCCTCACTGATTAATGCATCACTGACAAATGGGACAATAAAACTGCTTAAACTTCTGACCATTATCACTCATTACATTACAGAATCATAAAACAGAAAGTAAATCACCAATAAAATATGTTGCAAGAAGGCCTGACTAATTCTGACAGGAGCTAAGCCTGTCTCTTGGTAAACTTCAATGGCCACGGTCTTCCTTCAACATACAAACTACTCACAATTATGCAAGTCCATGGTGTAGTTAGAGCATGCACTCCTGTCATCACCAGTGGTCAGAGGGTGAGATGCTGACCATGCACAGTGTAAAACTGTTCCTCACAAAGGCAACATGGAGACACAAAGGTCAAACAACTATACATCCAAACACCCAGAGCCAAGTGGCCCATTGATTAAACATGGAGCATCTGCAGGAAACCCCTGAGAAAAGGCCCAAACTGGGACCCAATCCTTGGACATTCCAGCTGCAAAACAACAGTCCTAACAACAACACCTCCATCCTATTGAGAAAAAAGCAGAACATTACATCTTGAAGCCAACACATCTGTTTTCTCTACATCATTTACATATGTGTCATGTAAATATTCATTAATCAAGATGTCAAGAGACATTAGTTTGTGTAGCAAAAGTGTACTGTAATATAATGACAAATACATCCCAGGGAAAAATAAATGTCCTTGTAATTACAGTGATTTTTTTTTTTTTTTTGGAAGATGTAAACACCAGCATGTAGAAAAAATGCACTAAATCTATTTATACAGTATTAAACAAATTAATTGTATCCAGATGATTTACTAAAGCCTAATTATTATGTATTTTTATGAAGTAATAATAGATGGATCGATTTCAAAGTTGTTGAGTACGGGTGTGGCAAAGTGTCGGCCATCGCTTCAGCCATTGTTTACATCTGGATTTATTATGTCTGTCTTCTTTTGAAGAGTAAATATGACACACGTCTCACATCGATGTAAAAATGGGATGAAATGCAACATGGCGGTTCTGACTGCAGACACTTTGAACATTATCTAATTTAGTATGGAAGTGCGATCAGACCTGGGCTGTTCAGACTGTGGGCAGTGGTAAAGGAAGATATATGAGCAGAAAAAAAAATCTGTGTGAACGAAACCTTTGTTTCTCAAATGATTAAAAGTCATTTAATACAGTGTTCATTTGGAGGGATAATTATGTAGTAATTGTTATGATATTAGCTAACATGAAAAGATTGTTATGAGCCATTAACATCCCTAGTCCATCAGTGTTACTGGCTAATAATCATTTTTCTCTCCCAAAGTAAAACATATGCAGCAATTGCAATCTGTAGTTTACATACTGGCTGATTACATGAGATTAAAACACCAGCCCTGTTAAATTTGCTTTAAATAAACTCTAGTTCGTTAGTCTAAAAAGTTCAGTTCATTTGGGGCGGAGTGAATCTGTCATCAAACTCTGATGCAGACCAAAAAGACGAACTCTGGTTCACCTACAAATCCAGGTTTCGGTTCAGTTGAAGTGAACTCTGGTGCAGTTCCAGTATGTGAACGCCAAGCAGACCAGACAGTGCTCCAAAAGCAGGAAGTGGACTGCAGCGCTGGGCATTCTGGGTAAATACAATCGAAACAAAAATATGTGAGTTTAGCGCCAGCAGGAGAAATGGTTGGTGGTGTTTTGCTGATGACAAAAGAGAAATCCCACAATTGCTAAGATCTGATGCAACATTTTTTAAATTTTGTGAATAAGGATGTTACACTTAGTGTCTTCTTCAGTGTTTTCTGAGTAATTTCCTTCAGTGGTTCTTGGTGCAGCGCCGCCACAGGTCAAAGAGTGAAAGGATTGCTCAAAGGGTTTGGTTGGTTTGACAGTGCCTTGAAAATGGAAGGAACCTCAAACTCAAGTCATTATTTCTCAGCTTATCTCTAAACCTTTTATTTCAGTTCATCTGTTGTCAGTGTTGCCTAATGACTGAGGTATTTTTGATTATATGTACCTGGTTACTGTTATTGTTCCTTAGACAATAATCCAAGTCATTTTCAGTAATAACTGAGAAAATAAAACATTTGCAAAAACAATAAAACTGACTAGGAGCTCTGCAGTTTAGACAGTTTTCAGAGAAAACAGAGCTGTTGGTGAAATTTATATAAATAATCTTCAACTGTAATCAACTTTGAAATAGCAGTTACTGTTTGCATAATTTGCGGTTGTAAATAGTGCAGGAGGTAATATGAAAAAGTCATTTTCAGTGACAAAGTGGCCATATTTGCTTAACTGCTTGAAACTAAACTGTTCTTGGTACAGTGCCACAGCTCACATCAGCGTCTTTCCTAGACAAGGCAGACATCTGTCTCTGTACAAAACCGTCTGAAACACTGACTGCACAGCACCTGTCCAGAACCAAACAAAACCCACAAAGGTAGAAAGAAACCAGTGAACAGGGAAGACAAAAATAGCCCAGAAAGAAAAAAAATATGTATATTGATTCTGTGAAGACCTGAGTTCATGCAAAGGTTTCTCTGCGTGCTCTGTTTGTGTAAAGAGACCAGATTGGTAATACCAAGCTCACAGCTTGGTAATGGCTTTATGGATATGCGTTTGTGGCGTTGCTTGCAAACTTTTATAACCAACTTCTGGATTGCTGTTTGAAATAACTGAAACTCTGCTTCTGGTTGGCTTAAAAAATAGAATTCAGAATATTTAGGACGTATTATCGTCTCCACATACCAACGACTAACGCCCAAAACATTTCAATATACAGAAAAAAATAAATCTGTGGGGGATTATCAATCAATAGTGGTAAGCAGGGGGGACAGAGGGTGCTTGAGAGGATGTTCTCAGATTGATTTCTCACCCAAAATCAATGCCTGAGACCTGCGTGAGTGAAGTGAGAATCAAGGATGTGTGTCGGTAAAGTTGGAGGAAGAAGAAATGGCAGACAGATAAAGTACGAGGAAGGATGTATTGATGAAGCCAGCGGACCATCTATGGAGACACACTGAACGTGGGGACGGGGTGGCAACAACAAAAAAAAAAAAATCAATATATTCCACCACCCATTGAAAGCAGCAAGACTCCAACCCCTCACCTCTAAGAAGTGACTCAACTTCTCTGGTTTGGCTCCTGACAACAGATTAACTTGCTTTCCTCGAAGTCATGAAGGGAATCATTGATTATCCACGCAGCAGCACACATCACCAACATTCCAGACTTTGGGACTGTGTTTATCTCTCAAACAGGTTGCCGTGGCTCCAAGGAGCATCCCTAAATAGTTAGTCAGGGAGAAAATGTGTTGAATTTTGATAGCTTGCTTCGTGTCTCTAAACTGCACTGTAACAACTTCATGATCCAGCTTTGGAGCTCAGTCAGATGACAAAAAGAGGGAGAGAAGAGCAGCTTTAACTTCAATCTAAATATATTTCCACCCCCCAAAAAAGGAATCCAGCAAATCAGAAGAAAAAAACATGATTTCTAAAACATAAAGCCAAGCTTGAAATTCTCACAAGGAAAAAAAATGTGTTTGTTGTTGTAATGAGGTGGGTGAGATGGGAGAACATTGGCTTTACATTGTTTTCACAGTAATGAAATGGAATCAATGAGGCTGCACTCTAACTAACTGCACTCTATCAGGCTGTCAGTGAATGTTGCAATGCATTCCTAAATGCATCAAAAAGTCTTCATTATAGGCAGATTGGTCTCTTTTGAGCACAGATTGATCCTGTTTAAGTCTGACACGAAACCACAACCGTTTGCAAATAAAATGCGTTCGCCTGGAACATTTTCTAAAAGAAAAATCTCAATGTTGTTTCAGAAAACTGAAAAAATTAATGATGGAAGATCTAACTAAATATATATATATATAAAAAAACATTAAATCCAAACTGCTACTATCTTTACTATATGATTTCCATAATTACACATCATCACCTTTCTAAAATAATGGCCTGTCATTTTTTGACATAAGTGATTTTGGCAAAAAAATAAAATAAAAATAATAACAATAAATAAATAAACAAATAAATAAATAAATAAAAAAGTCACCGCCTCTCTCTTTCCAAAAGATGTTTTAGGCTACAAAAATCACTGACAAAAAATGACTTGGGACATTATTTTAGGAAGGTGACGACATGAAGCCGGTCTCTTCATCAATATGTAAAGAAATAGTTTAATTACAGATGCGCATCACGAAAACAACAGGACTGAGCTTGTCTCTGCTGGTGGTATTTTCAAATAAAATTCAAGAAACAAAAGGGCATTCTACGGTTAATCAAATTATCCGACATGGCGAAGTGAAGGTAGCAGACTCTGAAACCTGGGTCAACCTGTTGGGAAGATGAGGAAGTAAAAACAGAGGGAAAAGGGACTTTGGGAACACTCACAATGCTGAAATTACGCGGCCCGCAGGGCTCTCCCTGGTACCGACAGTACAGCAGCATCTCCTCCAGCTGGTGTCCCAGCCGGTCCAGCAGCTCCTTCATACTCGGCTGGGACTCCAAAGGAGGAGGAAGGAAGTTTTTGAAGTCTAAAATCCGCGACAGCCACGGCGGCTCGCTGCCCGCGCTCTCTCCGCCGTCACCCAGCAGAGCCAGAAGCGCCTCTTTCGCAGCGGGGGAGACCTGCAAGTTGGGCGAGTCAGGTTCCTTCTCCAGCAGCCCCAGCCACCTCCCGGAGGTGAATATGTCCGTCTTCTTCATGCGTCGAGGCAGCAGCAGGTTCTGGTTGCAGATGGTGACGGCGGGGAAAACCAGCCGCTTGGCGTACACCATGTGCGCCTTGGTGTACATGGGCGAAGAGAGCAGGTACCGCACTCTGTTGGAGGACCAGGCGAAGAACAGAGCCACGGCCGCCAAGAACGCAAGAAGCCACGCAACTCTCCGTGGGTACGAGCCGCTGAGGAAGATGTGCCGTAAGCCGTGCAGGGTTGTGTGTTTCAGGAAGAGTTTCCCAGCTTCGGTGAGAGAACCCGGGCTCGGCTTGGATCCAGAGGACGGGCACATTTTCGGGAAACGCCGGTGCGCACATTCAACATCGGTCCCGCCGTGGTCAGGGTGACGGAGCCAGGACTCGTCTTTGCGCACTCGGAAGGATGCAGTTAGTGAGAGGATTTATTTTTTATTTTTTTTTATCTAGAGAGGAGAGGCTGAAGCGCACGCAGCTCCTCTCGGTCCTCTCAAGCACTGAGCAGCAGCTTGAGGCGGTGATGGGGGAGTATTTTGTCAGGCGCGCAGCGCTCCCTGAGCGTGTCCGGGAGGGGGAAGTGAAGTTAGTCAGAATGATTTAGTGCGCTAATGTGCAGCAACAGGAGTCAGGGGGATTATTTCATCTAAATTACAAGCAGTTAAACTCCGAGAATAAGTTCCAAAGAGACGACAGATTTAGTTAAAATCACACAATCATATTTCATAGCACGTTCTTCCCGCCTGCTTCCAAGATTATAATTTTCCAATTTCTGACATCTCCCCCCAAACACAGTGTGTGTTTTACGCACACAAACACACACAGACAGACTGTTGTGTCATAAATTAGGATATGATCTAAACGTCTATTAAGTAGTGAAGCTCATTTATTATAGATTTATTACATAGATATTGATATTTTTATGTGTTTATGTAGATTTTATAAAATGGGTTGCATATTATAAAAACACAATAGGATTCTCAGGAAATTTGAATAATGAAAAGGGATTCTTCTCACATATGTCATACAACTATTCATATGTTCTCCAGGAAATAGCTAGCTCATTAAAGAGTATCCAATCATATTCTTGAAAAGTTAAGTGGAAGGAAAAAGTGTGCAGGTACTGATTTCAAGCTGCTTAAGGTCAAGTGTGAAGTTTCAACAGTTGGTGATGATTTGAAGAGCCATGTTACTTGCTACTGCGTTTTATCAAGTCCAAAGTCAACACAGTTGTCGACCATACAACTGTGCCAAAAGTACCACAGCTTCATGAGCGCACATCACTGTTTGACTGGCTTACAGAGTCCCACTGACTGAATCTGTTTTTTTTAAAAGAGGAAAATAGAAATCAAGTTAACAAGATGAGTTGAGGGCTTTCTTTATTCGCTGCAGTCTTCCTGTAATTATTATTTATTATATATTATTGAGTCTACAGTCATGACCCGATCAGTCTCGCTTGTCAGCTTACAAGTAACTTTTGGGAATAACAACCTTTAAGAAGATATTAAACATAGTTTTAAACTCTGCACATACTTTTAAAAAACATTTCTGTTTCTAAAAATATTGTTTTTATTGGTCTGATGTTATATTTAAATTTTAAATGTTGTGTTTTCATTAGCCATTAGCAGAAAATCAACATGACTGAGAGAAATCATGATGTTTGCCAAATTGATCTATGTAATGTGTTTCACTGATAGTTACTGAAATAGATGGACTTTTCAATGATTTTCTAATTAAATGGATGGGTCTGTGTACAGCATACAGTACACAGACACTTTTCAATAAAATTAAATACCTTTTGCAACGTTCAAGATTAACAGAAATAAACTGACTTGAAATAATCAATTTGTGTGGGATGGATCTATATACATCTTTTAAATTGAATTGCTGAAATAAATGACCTTTCCTATGATATTCTAATTTACTGAGATGCACCTATAAGTTGCTGCTGAATATGATTAGTGAAGCTTGCTGACTGAAATCTCTGGGCTCAGTAAATGCAGATCATTTGTCTTCCTTTTCAACTCCGTCGCACACATAAATAGCTTTGGGGACACGTGCACCTTAACTCCTGCAAGCTTCACAGTTTCTCACTCAGTGTTTAACACTTACTTTACAAAGGTTAATAGTAGAGGGGATGTTGTCTGCAACATGAGAGCGACACCAGTTACATTACTCATTATCCTGCATCGCTCGCACTCGCATGAAGGGTAAGTAAAGCTGACATTACAGAACTGACAGATGTGCCTCAGTCAAACGTATTATCAGAAGGAAAACAGAAAGGTCAGGATGCTGCTGGGAAGTTAATGAAAGTCCTGTGATGCATCTTTGAAGGATGAAGTCTAAATATGCTAAAGCGCACCTTTAATTGATTGCATGGTGGGTGTTTTTGACTCCGTTACGCCCAGGTTTGTTTGTATCGAGGGCGGAGCTTTTGTCAGGACTTACAGCCATTGACAAAGCATCTGCAAAAACAATCTCCCTCTTGGGGTTTTTGGTCAAGCTGTAGCTCACGCTTGGTTGGTCATCAACACACACAGAGATCCGAGAGTAAGAGCTGCTGTGCAAAGTGTCTGCTCCACCTCTGAAGCAGAGAGTGTGGGTTTATTGCTCTGTGCATGACGGAGGAAAAAGAATTGAGCATGAATGAGAGGAGGAAGAGAAGTCGGCAGAGGAGCACTTAGAAAATCAATGTTTCACATCTTGTCACTTTATTCTGAAACATGGAGAACTGCTAAAATACGTGAAGACAATGACAGGCAAGGCATTCAAAAAGTACTAATCAAGTAAAAGTGGAAAGCTGGGTATTTGTTCATTTAAGTCGAGCAAACAACAGTCATCAAGCTCAGGCCTGCAAAAGTAATATCACATTCATGTTTTGAGATAATTATAAATTTGCTCAATTATCATAATTTAAGTGTCTAAACGTTGCAGGGTGAAGCAGAAAAATCACTTGTCTATGGTTCTCTACTTTCTGATACATTTGACAGATTGATCCGACACCCAATAATTATGTGCAATTCCAAGACAGACACTTCATGTCTGCCATGTGCGCTTTTTCTCCACTCAAAACGAAAACTTTAATAAAACGTTTGTGGAGGGTTTTTTTGTTTTGTTTTGTTTTTTGCATTACACTGGCATGCAAATTAAGACAATTTTTTTTATTAATTCCAATCATTTGAAAGTCTTTAACCTTTTCTTAAATGGCAGACATGGAATCAGGATCAATTTTTTGAATAAATATAAGATGTTTTGAAATTGTCGTTAGCTGTTTGTGTTTGTGATGAACCTTTTGCAGAGTGACCGCTGGAGACAGGCCACTAAACGGATTCACAGAAGTCTCTTTTTAAATTTACAGTCTGCACTTTCTGAACAATTTGAAATAAGGTTTGATGCAGCTTATTTTTCATGTTTGACCAAGGTAGTCAACATTTTGTTTTTGTCAGTCCCAGTTATTTATTTTACATTAGCTGTTATATTCCTATGCACTGACTGAACAAATTATAGTTGTGTTGATTTTACAAGTTTGCCCAAGCTTGTGAAGCGATTGGTGTATTTAAGTGAATT